AAGTCGTCGAATGCATTGGTAAGTTTAGAGTTCATGTACGCAGTAGTACTTCTCTATGGACGTTTGCCAGCACCTCCTCTGCCAAAGCTTCTCTAACCCTTTCTTACCTCTAATTTTTGAGCAACTGGTGTGCCATAGAGATTTTATCCACACCCGCGACACTTGCAACACATCGGGATTTTGCTACTTTACGTTTGCAGGTTAGCCTTGGATTCGACCTCGTTTTCATTCATTTCGACAAGAACAAACACTCAGAAATTCGGGATCGTTGTCTCAGCAGTTCCTCACAGGTTTCTTAAAAATGTCGAGTAAAATGAGCGTTCCAAAGATAATTTGCAAGAACAATACCAAGACCATTGTTTGAATTGAGATAAAAAAAAATCACTCAACTCTTCGGACTAAAAACAATTATAAGTTTTTTGGATGCTATCCAATTATAGATCGGCATACAACACCGGACTCCTCATAAAATAATAAATTCTTCTGCAGATTTTTCAAAGAGAAAAAAAAAGGTTAAATGTCAGATATAGTTCAACAATGGATTTCTCATAAAGTAATACATATTTCTGTAAGTTTTCAACAACAAAAAAAGACTATAATACCGGAAATGGTTCCCACAAAGTGCCCTTCAATTTCTACTGCGGTGGAGTCAGAGACTGCATGCTAACATAGCAAGCAATATCTATCAATTTTTCCGTCTATATCTGGCAAGAAAACTCATTAAGTTAAGGACAAATATGTTTAATTTTAGTTAAAATGTTCTGATAATTAGGTTTTGTTCACTCTCCCCCTTCTCTACCTAGGGATGAATAAACATTAAGCCTTTTTTTTATTTCTGCTGCATATGTTTGAAAATATTTTATGTTTTGTTTTAGTATTTCGCAAACACAATCGGCTAATATCTATTATGATGTCCACAGACTTTCTAAATATTGAAATCAACGTAATAAGCAGAGAATACAATGAACCTACAAATCATAGATTAGAATACCACGTGTAATATAATAATTTAATAATAAAGGAAAAAAAAACTCATGTTCTTACCCGAACTGTCTCTGCTGGTGTTATAGGAGACTCCTGACCTTTTTTGAGATCTACGTGAAAATCTTCCGAAGTCGTATGGATCCATTTGGCAGTTGTATGAGTAACGTCTGGTGGACCTATTTGGAAATTATAATTACCCAGAGGTATATCTTGTTTTATATAATTTTCATAACATAATGTGAGGAAATAGTTATGATATTTATTCTGCATAGAAAGTTCAATTGTTCCCACGGTGGGACAGCGGTAAGTCTTCGGATTTACAACGCTAAAATCAGGGGTTCGATTCCCCTCGGTGGACACAGCAGAGAGCTCAATGTGGCTTTGCTATAAACAAAACACATACACACAAAGTTAAATTACTCTAATTATTTGATAAAAAATGACACTTAAGTACATCATTATAGGAAAGTGCTATAAAATTACGTTTTACGTTTCTAATATCTCGGTAAGTAATATTAAGCTTAAGGATTTATAGCGTTAAAATTCATGACTAAAGCTCTGAAAGGGTATATAACAGATTGTTTAGTGTGCATTCTTGTGATTAACAACAAATATATTGAATCTAATACGAATTACATTTTATAACATACAAGTTTACATCATAGAAGATATTTAAACGGAACGATAAAAAGATCATTTACAACAAGTTTTACTCTTAAATAATAAATACAAATTATGTGTAAAACATTCTGCTGAATGTGTATCTTTTCACCAGAGTTATCGTCAAGTGTACCGTTTTCAGATCTAGTAGCTTGTGTGCCTTCACATTGATTTATATTTACGATTACTGTTGATTCTCTCGGCTTTATGTAGTAATATACCATAAAAAATAACGTTTACCTAAATTTTAGGCTGATTAACTATGTGTTTTCCTAGAGGCACAAATAAGTACGAATCGTAGCGTGTGAACGTAATGTTAAAGTCAGTTTTCAACTGCCTTTAATTTGTATGTCTGCCTGTTCGTTGTTAAGTACAAAGCTACAGAATGTGCTATATGTGCTGTGATCACCACGAGTATCGAAATTCGCTTTTTAACGATGTGAGCTCTTGGACTTACTACTGAGCGACTGGAGGGTTGGTCTTTATCAAATATTAACATAGGTAGATTGCAAATCCAACAAGTAATAAAAGTTAAATTTTAAAACAATGCGAAAGAGCATTTCTGTAGTTTGTTCTGTGCAATAGATAAAGAGACGAAAAGTTTTCTAATAACTACCCACAAAAATTCCTAATCTTTGTTTTAATTGCTAACCAAACATTTGCCAACTTGCTTTTAGTTTTATACCATTCACTTTCATATTGCATCACATTAAATATAAACTACAATTGGTTGAAATTACCCATTTTCTATGTGAAGCACAAGGGGTACTGGAGTAATAAGTGAGACTAATTGAAACACTGTTTGTATTTTTGATTCATATTTTTGATGTCACAAAGTCATAAACTCACAAGTAATTAAATGCATACATAATTTACATAGATATATTTACAAGGCGGACATGGTCCACTTAAACCAAATCGGCAATTTTATAGTTAATAAAATCGTTTTTGAAAAAAAAATTATGTGCTGAATAAACTCACCAGAAAAATCTCTCTTAGTGGAAATAAGATCAAGAAGCTGCACGTCGTGCTTCGGTGATTCTTCATCAGTAAAAGAACTAACTTGGTCCCTGAATAAATAAATATACATGTATTGTTTTAGAAGTAAGAGAACTAACCTGGTCCCTGAATATATATATATATATGTATTGTTTTAGAAGTAAGAGAATTAACCTGGTCCCTGAATATATATATATATGTATTGTTTTAGAAGTAAGAGAACTAACTTGCTCCCTGAATAAATAAATATACGTGTATTGTTTTAGAAGTAAGAGAACTAACCTGGTCCCTGAATATATATATACATGTATTGTTTTACAAGTAAGAGAACTAACTTGCTCCCTGAATATATATATATTGTTTTAGAAGTTCTGAACATGTATTCTAACAGTCGTGAGATCAAAATGTAATTGATATGAATTCGTATGTTCACCTATCTCTGACTTTTTTGTAATGAAATATTGTTTCACAATAACTAAAATATCAACCTACATGTAAATCCAAAACTGATAGTCATTCTTAAACTTTTCACAATATCTGAAACAGCTATAGTTTTCTCCTATTTACTTATCTTCTAATTACAGATCCATACAATCTATATTTAATCAACCAGAAAATAGAAACTTGTTTTTCATCAACTATGTTTCCGGGCTTTTAGTTTCACTTGTGTTATGTTTTGTTTCGTTTTTCTGTAAGTGTAACAGAGAATCTTGTAGTGTTACTTAAAATACGTTCTGCGTTAATGATGAATAATAATACCCTTGGATCGGGGAATGCTGGCTAGCTCCAGAAGTAAAACGACACTTTGAAGGAAAATGACGTCCAATTACCCAAATTAAGCTCCATAGCATATTTCTCATTTCCCATACGTCATAGGTTTATCGCTAGTTTTGAACCACAAGTAACGATTACAGAATGATGAACGACTTATCTCACATGAAATCGTCGCTCTATGTCATTTCAGAAAATCTTATATCACTTTCCTTAGACATTAGGCCTTTCATCACTTTCCTTACACATTAGGCCTTTCAGAAATTTCCTGCCAGTTAATTTTCTTTCATTGAACGATTTTATATTTTTACAGCAGCAAGTGAATTATTTAAAAGTTTAGGACAGACAAGAATTTTATGACCTTCTTAGAACTTACACAACCAAAGCAAATTTCAAGTTAAATGAAAAGTACATTGTAAATTTCTAAATTAGTTTGTATCATTTTCTAAAATAGATACATAATTTCTCATACTAAAATCTCATTAATGTTTATGAAATACTTACTTTTCGTCTCGGCCATTTTGTATAACTTGATCTATACATATAAAAAAAAAGGTGCTTTTAATAAACATTAGTGTATAATATATTATTTTTAATATTATAATGTATTTATTGAACGAATTCTGTGCACATTATAAACATTTACTGTTGTTAAGAGGAGAGGAAATCCAGCATATACTTTAAATAAAAGTCCAGAGATACAGATTTCGAGTGGATTGTTTATCTTTATTTAACTTAATTACAACGTTTCGACCACACGTGTGGCCATCATTAGGAAACTGTCGTATATTGTATTACGTGATGATGGCCACTCGAGTGGTCGAAACTTTGTAATTAAGTTAAACAAAAATAAAAATAACCAATACACTCAAAAGCTATATCTCTGGGCTTTTATTTATTGTTTTTTTTCTGAAAGTTTAAAATTATTTAATAAAATGAGCAAAAATATTAAAGGTACGTCTTTACTCAGACACTGTATGAATTAATGAGATTAGTGTATTACCTATGAAAATTTAAATGAAATTAAGTACAAATAGTTGGAAGTTTCGAATTAATATACTAGTATATTTCTATAAATTTATTTTTTAAATATGTCTACATCTAATAACAATGAAATATTATTCGCAGAACAGTTAACAAGATTATATATATGAATTTTGTGATGTTTATAAATTGGAAGTTTCTAATAAACAATTAGTGTCCATAAGTCAGAAATATTATTTATAACTAGCCGTAGTACCAGTCCCCTGGACGGAAGTTGTGTAAATTCATGATTAATGAAAGTTACCTAAGAACATGAAAAGTTGCTTCCCTTATATGTAATTGTAAAAAAACGCCCATAAAAACCGCAAAAGGCAAAACTAAAAATTTATATGTACTCCTGCATGGACTTAATTAACCTCCATACCAATTTTGGTGACGCTCCATCCACATCCTGAGAAGTGGTTACATGGACATCAACAGAGAGTACTATTATGTTTATATAGATATACACCACAGCATATTTTACAAAATGGAAGTGATGTACAGAAAACGTGCTTGATATTGCTATTAAAAAGTATTACCATAAAATAATATACAATCAAAACAAAATACAAAACTCTTCCATTGGCATCTGCAACTTTCGTTCAAGTTTGTATTGGGAGGATTAAGTGGTAGGTGATTCAGAGAATCAAAACCTATCTAAAAGACAGAAAACTGATGACATTTTGTTAAATACATTTCAATGATATATTCATAAAATTTTGACATATTGCATAAACGAACTAAAATAACAGAGCAAATTTCAAGATCTGGTAATAGTTCCAGAATTAATTTGATTCTAACCGAGAAACAACGATCCAAAAGAACCATATTTGGTTAATAAAATACTATAAGGCTAAATGAAACACTACAATACATCAATTGGTGAAATGGATAAACTTAAAAGTTATCCTCGATCTGTAGGATAACCTAATACAGAGGATTAACCTCATATTATAAAACAAAAATTGTATATGATAATACAGGAGTACCAACGCAGATACGTGATCTGGCATTAGGGGCGACAAAGCCTATCATTAATACCTGGTATGTTTCAATTAAAAAATAATTAAAAACCATGATTCAAGAAGTACTGCTACCGATGAGCTACGTCAGAGCTACCACCGATAGACTCGTGGCTGGAAGGTTATGCCAGTGCTGCCACTGATAGACTGACGACTGGAAGGCTACGTCACAACCCTTTGCGAATACTCGTATGGCTAGATTGTTAAAGAAATGTTGTGATATGAAAACCTTGGTCAATATTTTCCAGGGAACAACTCGTAAAACAGAGCGATTAGGAAATTAAAAGGCTCTGAAACAAAACACAAAGCATTTCAGAGCAAAACCTGCAACTGCAAAGTAAAGTTTATGGTTGCAAAAGAGGAGTTTTTGACCCAGAAACACCATTGTTATAAAGCTGGGTGTGTTTCAGATCATAAACAAGTATTTCAGTTTTTAAAGCCTCATAAGCGCAATTTCGAGTCTGAAGACACAAATCGAAACCAAAGGCTATTTTTTTATGAGAATGATGAACAAAGAAACTGGAATCACTGCAATTCCATTTTACCACATACTTGTCAAATCAACCAATGCAGTTCCAATGAACTGGAATCACTGCAATTCCATTCGACCACATATTTGTCAAATCAACCAATGCAATTCCAATGAACTGGATTCACTGCAATTCCATTTGACCACATATTTGTCAAATCAACCAATGCAGTTCCAATGAACTGGATTCACTGCAATTCCATTTGACCACATATTTGTCAAATCAACCAATGCAGTTCCAATGAACTGGATTCACTGCAATTCCATTCGACCACATACTTGTCAAATCAACCAATGCAGTTTCAATGAACTGGAATCACTGCAATTCCACTCGACCACATATTTGTCAAATCAACCAATGCAGTTCCAATGAACTTTTCTCCTTTTGGTATGCTTAATCACGGTCTTAGAAGCTGAAAATCACGTGCAGTGAAAGGTTGGGCAAGATATGTGTTCATTCTTTGGAGAAGCTTGTTAGAACGGAAATTGAGGTGTCGATTAATGGCGCATAATCATGGTCACGAGACACAGCACAAGAAACGATGAAGAAAATAGTATTAAGGGCAGTAGGTGGTCTAGCAAATATTCTTGTAAAGTGCTATTAACCCTAAATCAGTAACAAACAAAACATAGAAACCAATTAATAACTTAGCCAAGAAATTGCACCTGCTCAAATCATATGACGACATTCTGGTTTTCATGAAATATATCAATGTGTTAGGCTTCAAAACATCAGTGTGAAACATTTTACAGTTTCTTAAGTATTCGTTAGTTTCTTTACATTTGATAGAACCTGAAAAGTAATCTGTATCTAATTATTTTATTTGACCCAATTATAGAGGAAAGCCGTTAATAACGGAGTCAATTAAACATCTATTATATAAATACAGATTAGGGATTGTAAAAACTACTAGTCATTGTCTTCTACATGTGTTGCGTTTTATAACATACGCTTTCAATTATTTATAAGGGGGATATCTTTGCAGTAAGTTTTATCATAGAAATTGGTCTCAAGTTTGAAATATAGCATAAAGGGACTTCGCAATGAGATTTAAATCTTATTATAAGGTTTTTCCTTCGTTCATGTCGTGCCATATATACAGAAAGTCAATACACATTGTAAAGATAAATACATATGAGCAGGAGTCAGGCTACTGCTTATACAACGTTATTCTTTATTTCATGACTGTGGGTATACTTTCGGTTAAGTGCCCAGTATTTGTTCAAAGAAAATGGGAGGAAAATATTGATCAACAAAGATAACTTTCCTTAGCAACGGTGTTACCTGGAAGTATTTCTGCTATGCCATTTTAAGTTGCATGGTTGCGTGATTTTAGTTTACATATGTTCATCTTAATTTTCTAAAAGCTGCTACAAAACCCTGAATGGGATTCCTTCACCTGGCGGTAAAAGTAAAGCTTAATGTGTAATAAACTTCGTGTGAATATGTTTCTCCTTATTTAGTTAAATAAGACTACTTCTGTGGCACAATGCTTGCGTGATATCATTTTAGTAAAATGCCCACCTTGCAACTAAAGAAAAAATGAGAAGTTCTTTTTTGACTATAACTCAACAAATCTGACCAAAAAGTAACATAAAAAGACCTATCGTTAACAAGTTTTCAGAAGAAGAGATAGAGCATGAATTAACAATGATATAAGTGTGCAGAATTGATTTTGTCCAGGCTCATACTCAGTATATAAAACCTATTTTGTACGTGAAAGGTGTTAAATCTTTAAGTGTAACACAATGGTGATCGTCATAACGAACTATATAATTTGATTTAAATTTGTGATCGGGAGTGACCTAAGGGTTAACGTGCCCGGACTATAAATCGAAAAATCCATTACCGCAAAAATTCCTTCAGCACTTTGTAACCCTTGGTTTGTTACATTAGTGGCAATCAAATCTCACTATTCATTTAGATTAGCTCAATAGTTGGCGATAAATGTTGTTGAGTACTAGCTACCTTCATTGTGGTCTATCAGTTCAAAATTATACACGGCTAAACGTAAATAGACGATGTGTAGATTTTAGCGAAAACCTAAACGAACATACATAAATCTAAATTCGATGACGAGGAACCCACTTTGAGACTAATAATAGCTGGAGACGGCTTGAATGGGTAATG